TCAAGAATTACAATAGTGTCAATACAATAGTGAATTGTACATGTTAATTTTCATAAAATTCCTTTATTGAGTAGAAGGGTCTTGCGATTAGCCACTTCTTCAACTCCTGGTGTAGCTTGTTGCCAGCCAGGTCTCTCAGGTAGTCAGGTAGATGGTTCCTCAGCTTGCAGCCGGTGTAGGAAGGTTTTTTCTCCCAAAGAGTTGTTCGGTGAACTGGTAGTGCAAATTTGGAGCCATGACGGTTGTTGTAGTGGTGCAGGTCTCGGTTTCTTGGGGGGTTTATTTCATTCACATACTTTATAGATTCAAGTATGTAGAGAGACACCACTGTGAGGATTCCTAGGTTTGCGAATGCTAGTCTGCAAGTCTGTGGTGGGACAAGGTTGGCGAGGGCTCTTATGGCTTTCTTTTGAAGGACAAGAATTCGATTCATATTTTTTGTTGAAGTTCCTCCCCACACTGTCAAGCCAAATCTAAGATGCGACTCTACCAGTGCGAAGTAAGCTGTTTTGGCCACGGAGAGTCCGCCTATGTAGTTTATTCTTCTGACGACATATATTCCAGTACTGATTTTTTTGCTTAAGTGGTTGATGTGCTCTTTCCATGTTAGTTTGTTATCAAGGATAACACCGAGAAATTTTGTGTGGTTTTCTATTGTTACATCCTCTAATTGAGGGACTATGTCTTTTTTCTTACTGAAATTCAGGGTTGTAGTTTTTGTGGGGTTATTGCTAAGTCATTGTTCTTTGAGTAGAGGATAGTTTTATTTAGGATCGATTTTGAATTAAGGTAAAGGTTTTGGGCTGTGTTGTCCTTGATCAAAATGGTTGTGTCATCTGCATACATGATTGCAACAGCATTTTCACTCTCAATTTGTTTGGGGAAGTCATTAGTCAATAAGATGAATAGAATCGGGCCTAATACAGAGCCTTGTGGAACTCCTCTCGTCAGCTTGCTTTTTGAAGATTTGAAACTTTCTGTGACTTCACGTGACGTCAACTGTGACGTTCTGTGACGTCAACACCAAGCGTCTTGACAGTGTCGCGAACAGACAATGTCATGCCATCAAGGGTGACTTCTATAGCAGATTTACTCAATTCCTTCATCGTAATGTTTGGTCCAGTATGCATGACTACACACTTGTCAACTTTCAATCCAAGGCCATTCATGACAGACCATTGAAAAATGCTGTGCAAATCAGCATTGATGAGCCGGATTGCTTCTGATGTCTTGTCGGGCTTGTATGACAAGTGTAGTTGGCAGTCATCAGAATACAAGTGTGCTGTACAATATTCTACACTTCTGGACAAGTCAGACGAGTACAAATTGAACAGCACAGGTCCTAAACAACTACCTTGAGGAACACCACGCAATTTGCAAAGCGGATCTGATGTCTCACTCCCAATTTTGGCAACCTGCAGTCGGGACTCCAAATTGTTGGTTTCGGTCCTATTTGCCAAATAGGACCGAAACCAACACACCACTTTTTCACTGTAGCCATAGCACTTCATTTTGGCCAGTAACAATTCATGATCAATAGAGTCAAATGCTTGGGAATAATCTAGAATAGCTAATGTGCAGTAAAGTCCATTATCTTTGGCATCGAATAGATCAGCAAACATATTAGTCAGTACAGTACAAGTACTGTGGTTTTTTCAAAACCGTGACTGTAGCTTAGGCAATATTTCAAAGTCATCTAGAAATGAAGCAATTTGTTTAGATACTATCTTTTCCATTATTTTTTTACACATTGCAGGTAACACAGAGATAGGTCTTAAATGCTGGACGGTTTTTGGCGCAGCTACCTTAAGCAATGGTTTCACATGGGCAATATTCCAACTTTTAGGAAAAACACCAGAGGCCAGACTCATGTTTATAATATGTGTTATTGCTCCAATTGCATATGGGCTAACATATCTTATCATTTGTATCGATATACTATCAACACATACAGCTTTTGATTTTATTGAGTTCATTGCCTCTTTAACATCATTTTCTGTAATCATTTTAAATTCAAACTTATCGTTATCTCCATGTTTTTTATCTTGTTGAAGTTTATTCAGCAATTCAATGTCTATATCATTACAAGATCCCATATTGACAAAATATTCATTTATCATATTCATGTCTAAATCAGGGGGGAGCCTACTATTTCCCTTACCGGTACTACTTACAATCTCACAATTTTTTAAACAATTCCAGAACTCTGCAGGGTTTTCACATGAGGCAAGCTTGTTAGAAAAGAATATTTTCTTAGCCTCTTGGATCATGAAATTCAAACTATTTCTTATGGTTTTATACTCATTAACCTTTAAAAATATATATATATTTAACCTTATTTCCTCCACACTTTTTCCAGCTTGTGGACTGGCAAAATGATAGAGGTATGCTGCACTATCATTTAGGGTTTAAAATCAGCATGAAGCTTCGACATTTTTTGTTGTTTTTTATTTTTATTGTTTTTTTTTTTTTACTTGTAGAGTTATTTTTATAATACCCTGTATTGCCAATTGACCATATTTGATTTATTTGGTCTAATCATTTTTAAGAGCCTACAAATGGTTTGGTATTGGCGATTTTTTTTGGAAGTAGTGATTCCTATTTCGCTAGTTAAAATACATTAAGCTATTTGGTATTTCCAAAAAGTTTAGGGGTGGATGGCTGGGGTGGTGTATAATATGTACCACTTACCCTCGTCAAATAACACTGTTTCCCCTTGTACGCATATTTCACTGTACGGTTTTTTCGTGCTACCGTTGGAGCGTCCCTGCGGCCAAGACCAAATAAAGGTTACAGTTGGCAATGATGATTTGAAGAATCAGAAGTCTGTGAAATTATTAGGGGTAATATGTGATGAAAATCTGAAGTGGTATGAACATATTATACCATTATGTAAGAGATTAAATAACATTTGTTTTAATATGAGTTGCCTTGCGCGGAGAAACAAAACTTATATTGTACTATGGCTATTTTTACCCATGGTCTTGGATATGGAATTTTGTTTTGGATATATTTACTCAATTCTAATGACGTTATTCTATTTGGTTTGTCCTGAGAACCTTCAGTGAAATACCAGCTTCCATTTGAATTATTGATTATTAAGATCGGACGTACCTAAAGCACACTGCTAAATCACGAACAACCCAAATAAAAAAAATAAAAAAATTGAGTTACCGTATTTATCATCGATTTATAGTTAAACGGTCTTGCTTGCAACCTCAATAGTAACTGTCAGACTTTGACGGGTTTCACCAAGTAAATCTTGAAAACCCCAAACTTTCATAATTATTTGCAAATCTACACGAATTAGGCTTTCCAATGACTTATTAATTAATAAAATCGGTTCAGTAGAACTGTAGATTTAATTGTACAAAGTTTAACAACAAAATCTTTAATTCAGTGTTTTCTCACCATTATAAATTTAAAGGTTGCTTAATGTTTTGGGGTAGCGGATTTTTATCCCCCTGGAATTTTACCCCCTGGGCAAACGTGACGTCACAAACCAGGGTGTAAAATTCCGGCCGCGAACTTTTGAGTTTCGCGACATCAGCTCGATGGATTAAACGCGGAATTTAACATATATTTTCACGGTTGGGAATTTAATCAGAACACATCAAAGTATAAAACCCTAAAGTGTACGGCCCGGATTTTTGCCCCCGGAATTTTACCCCCTCGGCAGATATATAAATTGGTGAGAATGATTAATTATCTTCATTCTGTTTTAATTTAATAGTAAATATTTTATTAAGTAGCCATTATTAATGTATTTGTAAAAGTAACTAATCGGACAGGTTTTGAATTTTAATTTTGAGATTCTAGTATTAGGATTAGATTTTTGAAGCCAACAATATGACAAACAAGTTACAACATGACAATATGTAACAATATGAATCAAGTTAATATGTCGTATAAACAATCAACTGAATGATAATTGTTTCATAATTGTTGTTGTTGAACATTTCTTTACAAAATAAAGAAATAAAGATAGGCTACTAAATAGTTAAATGTTTTTTATTAGTGTTATATGTTTCTGATATTGAAGAAAGGATTCGGTTTTTTGTAAAATTAGTGTGTTAGCTATAACTGTAACATACACGAGTTGCAAAAAACGAACATAATGAATTGAAACAAATACAGAGATGAAAGGGGAAGAATCGTCAACCCTTTGTAATTCCTCCTACATGATTTTTAATGAACCATAGCTAGTCTTCAAATAACCCTTTTTCGATAAATACTTATCTTGATACACTAGAGTTTTTATTTTTTAAATAAAACTTCTTAATACATCAAAAATAGTGGTGTATTGCCACTTGACTAAATTCACAATAGAAGGGACTGGGGAGCCCTAAAGCAACACTTATTTTCTTTTCTTTAATATTACAAACAAAAAGAAAAAAAAAGATTTCGTGGGTTCTCTTTACATTCCTATGAATTTCATACAAAATTTCACGCAAATCGGTCAAAGTTTACCCAATATATTCACGTTTACCTTCGTATTTTGATAATTGCAAATAAAACCAAAGTTCACCATAAGCTGACCAGTACTTTTTTGACGTGGCTCCCACAAGAAGACCTAGAATATGTTAATCTACTTTTTGTCGTTGACCGGTGTTAAGCACAGAAGAACGCGACAATCTCAAACAACGATAAACCCAGGCAGAATCTTTGTTCTGGTTGAGGTTATTAGTTGACCGATACGGATCCAAGACTAACTTAGCCAAGTAGTCTACTTGTTGGATGTCTTGTCTCATAAAATTCACGCAGTGCAAATGTTGCCACTGAGAGAATTCAAGATTGTCACCACTCCGACGCCAATATCAAACAGATGGAAGTTTAGGGGTTCGGCTAATGCTTTGTGGAGGTGTCGATGGAACTGGAGCGGTCTACAAGTTGTATCAGGGGTTGATAATGACCATGTGTGCGGGTGGTGACGCAACGTACCCTGGGAATGTCCGACAGCTCGAGTGACAATGGTACGATGGATCGGAGACATAGGAAAGCGGTCGGACGGGTCAGTAGCTGAGAGGACCGAGGACCGCGTACAGTGCAGTGTAACTCTCTCTCAGTCGCTCCGCTCGAGTCGCCGTCTCTATATGGAAGTGGATTTGCCGCTACAGAGGTACGTATAGGGCAGTGACACGGCTTCGTCTTATGGTTCTCTATTTCCACCAAATAACCACATGTTACGTTGTAAAGTAAATCTGTTCAGTTGTAGCTGACGTTAAACCCATTGGTTATACAGTATTTTCGAAATTTACCTCTAATAGATGGTAAAATATAAGTTTGAACGAATAATTCGTTGAGTAAACCGTGATCTATTTACTTTTTGCACAGTTTTGAAATTTACTAGATATGTTATTAGTGTGGTGGGTTTAATTCAAATGTATCAAACATGTAGCCGTTTCTGAATTATAGGTATTGGTAGTTTACAAAATATCTTGGTCTTTAAGAAACGCGATAAAATCTTTCACTTTAGCCCAAGCAAATTAGGAAAAATAGAGGAACAAATCTATGTATTCCCAATTTTTTCAAAAATATGTCGGGGAGGGTCCCATAATGAATATATGATAGGTGAGAATAAAATCACCCTGCCGCTCTCTGGTGGTGGGAGGTGTAAATGCCCCAATTTGCGGTTTTTCGCTAATAACTTGAAAACGGCGTGTCGTAGCTTAAATTGTTCAGTGTAAAAGTTAAAGCTTATTAAATTTGCTACAACTTTGATCATATACATTATTAGTGAAAGATGCATAGTTTCTGAGACATCCGCGCTAAAAAAAAAAAATAATAATGTTCAAAAAGAATTTTCATCTCACATTTTTTGTAAAATTTTATTTGTTTCTACTTCTCTGTTATTTTTCAGAAATATTGACGGAAAGAAGGTTGTAGATAATTAAATTTACTTCAATAGTATATACATATATGTAAATAGATAAGATATAGGTATAAAGTTACAGTATTTTTAAGATTAAAAGATAAAATTATGAATTAAAAAAAAAATTGGTAAAATTATGAATTAAAAATTGGTAATAGTTATGTAAATAACAATTTGACAAAATAAAAAGGTTATCTTTTTATTACGACGATCCAAGTTAAAACAATTAAAACATACAAAATAAATTCATACTTAATTATAGAACTAATGTTGACTGAGCCTTTGTTCTTGCAAAAAAAAGGCTAAGGTAACATTAGTTCGATAATTAAATATTCTAGTTCTTGCCACTGAGAAATACATCACAAATTCATATTATGATAAATATTGATCTTATTCTTTTCATTGTCTTCTTCATCATCATCTTCACATTGTTGCTGCATGGTCCAGGCAAGCTCCCTCGCAGGTCCATACCTGGGAACAGTGGATGCCGTTTTTTCTGCATCCACACCTGGATCCACATTCAGTAGGCTCAGTCAACATTAGTTCTATAATTAAAAATGAATTTATTTTGTATGTTTTAATTGTTTTAACTTGGATCGTCGTAATAAATAGATAACCTTTTTATTTTGTCAAATTGTTATTTACATAGCTATTACCAATTTTTACCTTAAATAGAATTATATTTGGCCTAAACAATTATCAGAAACCATACAAATCGTGCAATGATAAAAAATCAAAACTTAGCAACTATTTGTGTAATTCATGATTTTCCCTTTTAATCTTAAAAACGCTGTATCTTTATACCTATATCTTATCTATTTACATATTTTTATATACTATTGAAGTAAATTTAATTATCTACAACCTTCTTTCCGTCAATATTTCTGGAAAATAACAGAAAAGGAGAAACAAATAAGATTTTACAAAAAATGTGAGATGACAATTTTTTTCGAACATTATTTTTTTTTTAGCGCGGATATCTCAGAAACTATGTGTCTTTCACTAATAATGTACATGATCAAAGTTGTAGCAAATTTAATAAGCTTTAACTTTTACACTGAACAATTTAAGCTACGACACGCCGTTTTCAAGTTATTAGCGAAAAACCGCAAATTGGGGCATTTACACCTCCCACCACCAGAGAGCGGCAGGGTGATTTTATTCTCACCTATCATATATTCATTAGGGGACCCTCCCTGACACATTTTCGAAAAAATTGGGAATACATAGATTTGTTCCTCTATTTTTCCTTATTTGGACTTCTTTGCTTGAACTACTTAGACCAAGTGGAAGGTCACTTGCCAATAAATGCGATTAAAACTTTATACCTCTTAACTTAAAAGCGTGTTTTGAGTTATATGGGGCGATTACGGTAGATAATTTGTTGTTAAAAGTTAATATCCGCAATAGGAGTTTGTAAAATCTGTCCATTTAATTAATTCTGGAACGTTTTAGCGAATTTCCCTATAGGAAAGTAGCTATTACCGTAGGTATCACGGTAAAGCTCAGGCCCGGGACTGATTTACTTTTTCATTTTGATGTCCCCAGAGGCCAAAAACACCATTCGTTCAAATTTATATATATATATATATATATATGCGTCCGTGAACCAGCACGGTTGCCTATCATGTCTTAGGTAAAAATATTTTATTGGACTGAGCGTACGTATTTTTTTTGTATCATTCTTAATTTCATTCCTTCTTTACAGTACCTACCAAATTTAATCTGGCCAATAAATATATATATTTCATAAATATTTAATCATTCTTCCAAGTATTTTTTCTTGCCATAACTATTTTGTTTTGTTTTGTTTCTAGCTGATTAATTAACATTCTAACATTATAAATAACGGCAATTGTTATGACAGTTAAACAATTAAATATACTCCACTGTTGTAAAACACAATAGGCGAATCTTACCAATTTCCATTTCATTTAGCTTTGGTAAAAGATTTCTCTTCTATGACGACTTGGAGTGATTCTTTTGCAAAACAGATCGTCTCAGTTGGAACACGTCCGTACGTCAACTGACTTTTCGGATACTGAAGTAGACATCCCATCAATATAGAACAGCTGTAGCTAATAAAAAAAATTGAATTAACCATTCTCAAAGTGTTATAAAATATAAAATTCCTGTTCCCCTTTTTAGTGAATATCTATGGGAATAAGGTGTTGCCATGAGTCTCGGTGTTAAGACCTGAAGCCGGGCCGATTCAATTTTTCGTTCGAGTGTTCCTAGAGGCCAAAAATACCATCCATAACTCGAGTAAAAATAATCCTATTTTAGTTTAAGTTGTTACAAACGTATAATCTTACGTTTACTCGAACGAGTTCGCGAACTAGCATAATAACCATGAGAATGGGGGTTTTATGGGGTAAGAATTATTTTTCCATTTTTGACCCTTGAAACATAAAATTTTACAATTTCTCTCCAAACTGTTTTGTAGAGCTCAAAACGTATAATTTGGTATATTGAAGCTTTTTTGTAAAATTAATTTATGGTTACTGAGAAAATAAAAAAAATTAAATTTAAAATTATTATTTTATTCTTACGGAGAACAAGTAAACTGTTGTAGTTTGCTTATTTATGGATATATTTTAATCAAATCTGCAAAATTTATTTATTTCATACCGAGCTAATAACATTCTCAAAAACATACTTTGAAAACCGAAATGCTCATTGATCCTAATTTAATAGGGAATTAATCTGACTTGTTTAAGGAAATATTTTAGTCAAAATCATATCAGGCAAATGGAAATTCGTTTAGACTGCAGGTTTGCTGCGATGGGGGTAATTTTTTCCTTCGATAGTTTATGTGAAAGATGCAATAGTTATCAATAACATTTTGGTTTGTCTTTGTAGAGAAATTTCTGTATACAGCAGAGATGAGTGGTTAGCAATAGCGCAATCTTTCAGTGCCTAAACTTAAACTAATCGTATGATATACGCATGTCTTTAGGTCCAGAATGCTGCTAGCGGTCCTGCTTTTAGGTTTGACTCATTCCAGTCATGGAGGCAGCTGTAAGGACGCCGGTTTGTGCTGCAAAGGACGCGATTCCTCCTGCGTTGCCCAGAAGGCTCCCATCAACTCCATCATCGAGGACCTGGACGATCGTCCTTGCTATTGCGACTTTGCATGCCTTCATCTGGGCGACTGCTGCCCGGACCTCAAGGAGGCGTGTGGAGGTAAATAATTCTACTCTATTTGTTTTTTTTTTGTTTTTTTTTTTTATAGTTGAATATCCGTAGGAACAGATTTAAACTTCAGATCTGTATGAGAAAATGAATAATTCTTTCTCCTCGTTTGTCTACTCAATTAGAATATTGTGAATCACAAATTTCGTGATTCTAGAGGTACCACACTGTTACTTTTACCCTGGTTTTCCTTATAAAAAAATAATTAAAAACGAAAAAGAATCGCGATGATAAATGCCAATTTGAGTTAATTACGTGATAAAAAATATTTGCTGACGGCAGGATTTTACCACTTCTTTACTGTGGACTATATAACTAATATGCCAAACTCATCTGGTAAATTCATCTATTGGCATCGGCATTTTAACTGTTAATGTTGTGCAATATATTATTCAAATTATAAAACATTTTCTTAAGTTAACATAAAAAAACTCACCATCACCAAAAATAAACTTCGAACAGAGAGTTGCGTACCTACCTTAATACCATTGTTCAACAAAATATGATTTTTCGCAACCAAGTCATTCAAGCTAGAAATTCTCATTTGTTATCTGAAATATTTTACAGGCCTACGTTTGTTCCTCGTATTTTTTATAAATCTGTGTTTTCTTGACCACAATCAGTATTTTGAAAATATTGGTATCTCGCATGTAAACATCATAGAAGGCACATGCTATAGACTTGTAACAATTTTAAATATCAATGATATCGTCAGTGGTTTTACGATTTGAACTCGCGAAAAGCTGAAAAAGTATCGTATTTCATCCCTTGAAAATCGTGATACAGTGTATACTTATCCTGTAAAATTAATTCTGCCAAACTAAGGTAAACGTCCGCTTTTGGTTTGGCGTTCGCAGTGTGCTTATTTAGTTTTGGGACAAGGATCAAGATATAAAATCTGAATTTAAACATATACATTGTTTTGGGACAATGATCAAAATATAAAATCTGAATGTTAACACATAAATTTGTCACAAAATTCTATTTTATTTAATTCAAATTAGCAGTAAGAAGATTTAAAACACTACAGACGTTTTATTACATCAGGATGCAAGTAAGCTCTACTAAGAGTACGCCAAGATTTTGCCCCCCCTCCTACTCTATTCAGTTCTTTATTCATAGCTATCTGAATATTTTTTCTTCCAAAGATACTGTATATCATCATAGAACTTTATTGGTTAGAATAACTTTCAGCAACATCTTTATTATGTGCTTCTATAACCCACAATCAGCCAAAAATAAAGAATTTACCCACCATTAAATACTATTTATGCTAAGAGAATCGTCAAATTGCAAATAAATATCAACAAGGAATGTCCATTGGCTCACAATTCAGGCAGTCTTCCGTTTCATAAAAGGCATAAGTTTATAGCCACTTACTAATAAAATTATAAAATCGTTGGTAACAAGTTAACATTGGTTGGTACTCTGTCATAAATAAAAATGTGATGATAAGCATCATTGCTCTCAAAACTGATACTATGTCCAACAATGTTATTTTGTTGTTTCATGTTATTGCGATGAATAGAAATATGTTTATTGATGGATGTTGGTTTGAATAAAAAATAAGATCATGAAAAAAAAACAAATAGATTAGGTTATAAGTTAATATTCTAAAAGGTATTGTGAATGTGGAGCAGAATCTCAAGATACTTTAATTGATTGCTTATTGGATTCCACTTTATTTATTTTGATTAGCCTTATTCACGTCGGTACTTCGGTATTTTATGTTTTTGAAAAAGCCACACCTTGTGTTAAAGAACCTGTATAAATTACTATTTCGTGTACTGCACGACAGGAACATCAACATAAAACTTGCGGGTTTCTAAGATGTAAACTGTCGTATTGCAAGTGTGGGGCGCAAAGTGAAGTATTTGAGAAGTATTTACGGGTTTCTAAGACATTGGTTCAGTATATAAAATCTCGTACACCTGACTGTGGTAGTGGTGGATAATTCTACTGGATCATGATGGCGTTGGTCTAAGGACAAGGCAAAGGACGGTCGCAAACTTGAACAGAGAACGACACCAGTAGTGATATATTTATTGCTCTCCAAAGGGAGAGTGCTAAAAGTTCCTATTCCTACGATTTTTTGTCCAAAAACCACCTTTCCTCAATAAAACCTTTCCCTGGAAATTTGGCTCTGTTGTAAATATTTTCTGGCGGAAGGGTACAATTCGCACTTTGAACAATGTAGTGGAAGAATATTAGGAAAATCGACCTAACAAATTCGGACTAAGTGGAAACTTTGCACAGTTGTTTAGTAAGCCTAAATAAATAAAATATCAAAAGTCCCCATAAATCCCGGCTGTGCTTCAGCCGCCATCTTGGAAAATGGCGGCCAATTTTCACTTTTTTGACAATATTTCACAAACTATTGGTATTAGAGAATTTTTGTTAGTACAAAAGTTAAAGAACGTCTAAAAATACATATTTCTTATACTTCAAGGTTTGCTCTATCTTTAACGGTTATTGAGATAAATAATAAAAATAGTAATAAATTTAAAATTCCCATGTTATTCTTATGGAGGAAAATAAAATTGTTGTAGTTTGCTTATTTATGGATATATTTTGGACCAAACTTGGCAAATTTATTTATTTTATACTAAGCAATTAATATTTAACATAAATACACACTTTAGTACCCTCCCTACAGCAGTAAACCTAGTACTCGTTTAATTTAAAGTTATTTATATAGGGAATATACATTCCATTTTTAGGATACATTTTTCGTATAAATCCAGTCAGGTAAATGGGTATTCATTTGTAAATCGTATTAACAATCATTTTTTTCTTATCAGTATTATGATTTATAGCTCACCAACTATCTTGTTACTACTATGTAACTACTCAAAACCTACATGGTACGTTATTACTCCCGGTATAATTATTTTGTCTGTAAATATTAGGAAATTCAATCTTAAAATCCGGACTAAATTGAAATTTTCCACAGTTAAGCACAGTAAGCCTAGTTGATGAAAATGGCAAAAGTCCCCACAAATTCTATTTATGGGGACTTTTGATATTTTATTTATTTAGGCTTACTAAACAACTGTGCAAAGTTTCCACTCAGTCCGAATTTGTTAGGTCGAATGGCAGTTTTATCCCTAAAATTCCTGGACTAATGTAGCAATGTCCGCATCAACAAAGGCCGCCTCCTTTTAGAACTTCAATTTCTCGAACTTCACCATTAAATCATAGAATCAACTTTAAAAATGCATAACAATTGTATCTTATTTACTATCTGTTTTTAGTATAGTCTGGTAGTACGAGAACGTTTTGTTTCACAAAATGCCGGTTTAAATCTTTTGGTTTTTAAAGTGGTTTTGAGTGCATTTATGTGTTTTTATCACATATTATCTTTTCCTGGAGGACTAAATTATTTTTGAACCAATTGTTGTATTGATTTGGTACTGCTTGAAAATACTGGTTGAGTAAGGCCTATTTAAAGGTGGAGTGTATAGCAATGCGAAAATGAAATGCCACTTTCGGTGTAATTAATGATGAATATCCTATTTTCTGATCATATCCGGAATGATTCTCATTCTATCAGATATACAAATGTTTTTACAAATGTCGTGGATAAATCCTTGACGGGATGTACACTGGTATATTTATAACTAGTAGGCCTAATAATCATTCAGGGGAGTGATACATAATAAGACTTTGTAAATAATTCTTTATAGAAATAGCAAGCGAAATTTTCTACAATCGTGTAGCCTAGGTATACTCTGAACATTGCTTATAAAGCTTCATACGTCTTATTAGTGCTTACCTGAAAGTATTTCTACAACAAAGGTAAACCGATAAAGGACAAAGAGCATTTGTTTTCTTCGAGGGTCCCTTTGTCTTCCAACTATTGGGCACTACTGTGAAACTCCTTAACAATTCTTTGTCTGGTCGTTTATATCTCCTGGTCGTGTGTTTGTTATCGGGATCAGTCCGTGACAAGTGCCATCAAGTGGGTCATGTTTGTCACACCGCCCAAAAAGGAGTCGTTTTCTTTAGACGTGACCGCTCAATCAAAACAATCCCACGTGCTTCATTCTTTCTCACGAGCCAAACGGGGAAAATACAACAGAAACATTTACTAAAAACATTTCAGGATGTACCAGTATGGTTGAATTGAATTACTTTTCTACAAACATTAAAGATCTCAACTGAAGGTGTACACATGGTGAAAAATGCAAAGGCTCGTTTATAAATTTGTTTATAAAGCTAGAACTAAGTGTAATTATGAAATAGCCAGCCAATTTCGAGATTTCCACATGATGAAGGTTTATACCAGGAATCCATATCGCGATATTTAAAGAAGGCATGATTGGATAAAGAAAGAGTGCTGGAGTGAGTTCAAATTGTTGAAATCCGACTGCAAAATAAAACCTGAGGGTTTAGATTATATATATTAAAAGGTGATTTTTTATTCAGTAATAAAACCTTGTTTTATTAAATTTTAAAACCATTGATTCGCAAAATTACAATGGTTTATTTACAAGTTTTCATACAGTTTACTATTTAAATAAAAACAAGTGTGCAAATTCTTTAATGTTTATAGCATTGATGAAAATGTATGCAAAACCATTTTCACAATAAACCAATATTATAAATATACAGGGTGACAAAAAGTCTGGAAACGGCTTGATATCTTTTTAACTAAATTCGTTAGAAAATTCAAACCTTTCACATCAACTTATATGTATGAAAACTACTTTTTGCAAGTATTACCATTTTTTTACCTTCACCAGGAGACGGCCCACGAGGAGTAGGTACATAATCTTTAATGTAAGCATAGGTTGATATGCACATCATTTTAAAGGTCTGGTCAAGTGGAGTTTATTGCCGGAAACCGCGTCGAAAAAGGTTCATTCGTTACAAAATGGCGGCATTTCAAAGTTCTTGCGGAATATACCTGCACAGGCCTTAGTAATGGTAAATACTCATAGTCAAAATTAGCCGGGAAATCTGAAACCCGTTTAAATTTGTTTTGAAGATTGAATAAACTTAGTCTATGGGCTAGTTGACTTTAAAATACAATTTCAGCTCTCAAGATAATGTTTAATACGAGTATTTACCAATATTAAGGCCTGTAAAGGTATATTCCACAAGAACTTTGAAATGCCGCCATTTTGTAACGAATGAACCTTTTGAGATGCGGTTTCCGGCAATGAACTCCACTTGACCAGACCTTTAAAATGGTGTGCATATCAACCTATGCTTACATTAAAGATTTTGTACCTACTCCTTACGGGTCGTCCCCTGGTGAAGGTAAAAACATGAAAATGCTTGGAAAAAGTAGTTTTTATACATGTAAGTTGATGTTAAAAGTTTGACTTTTCTAACGGATTTAGTTTAAAAGATATTAAGCCGTTTCCAGACTTTTTTGTCACCCTGTATATGATATAGTAAGCTACGTTAAATAAAACATTTATTTTTCTCCTTTCCTAAATAATACATAATCAGCTACAAACTGAAATTTCACCAATAGGTTGTTTCAAATCAAATGATTTTTTACTTGTGTTCGTTTCTGGGCAAACCTTTTTAAGTGTTATAGGCCAACATTCGCAACAATTCGCCTATACCGAATTGCCTCCATCTTTACTTGATAAAAGTAACTAAACTACAACGTATTTAAACAAATACGGATTACATTATTATTTTTCATTGCTTTATTCTACATAATGTGAATAATAATAAATATTGTTGATGATCTAATCTCGTCAAAAAATTCATTATGGCAGTTGGCATGTAAAAGAGCGTTGTTTTTAGGATTTTAAAAATTGTCCTACGACTTTGAAAATTATCACAATCTAAAATATATGGTATAACTTCACCAAACTTAAATACGAGATAGACACATATAATATGAACTATTTTGTAAGTTTTCAGAACTTTTACGTCACCCAAAAAGATGTTGTTGTTAATTACGTAAATAAGCTTTTTACAGATGTACATTTTCCAACAGTCTCCTAAAATCTAAAAAAATCCTTTTTCCCGCCCTCCTTCAAAGTCATAAATTGCATGACTTTTCTTGAATGTGTTTTTCTTGATCTAAAGTAGGTACGGTACGTTTGACTGAGTAAAATAGTAGTTCATTGTATTTGTAATTAAATTGATTACAGGATACATCAAATAGACTTCAGAAATTCACGGCAGGACTAAATTAACTATTTTCTTCATAATTTAAGTTAAACTTTGAAACTTTGAACATGTTCATACTTTCATTATGTATTTTCTACCGTAGTTTTTAGGACCTACATTTCTCTAAAATTAATCACCCAGCTGTTTCACCAGATCTCTTGTGTGGGGTTAATGATTATGATACCTATGGAAATGGTTTGTGAGTTATGACATCTCATTGATTTACTGTTTTGGCTAGTTGTGGATTGTGAGGTATCAGAATGGACTAGATGGAGTGATTGTAACATCGACTGTGGACCTGGGGTCATGAAGAGGTCTCGCTCTGTCACCAAAGCCCCCCGCAATGGGGGACAGGACTGTCCCCCGCTTCTCCAACGACGGGGCTGTCTTGGCACCGACTGTCCCCATAACCCACGCAGTGCACTTAAAGGTAACATTTAGCCATTGAATATCGGGTACTCAAGTAGACATCCTATATGTAATTGTAGTTGTATTCTATTATATACAGGGTGTTTCCAAATTGTCAGGATACATTTTGTGGACTTGTTCCTTGGGATAAGACAAACATAAAATACCATATAAGTATGGGTCTAAAATGCCTAGATTTCTGTCTGTCGGTCTGTTTGTGATTTTTTTTTAATATTTTATATCTTGAATGTATTTTATATTATATTTTATATAATTGAATTCAATGTCCCTAACCCTAGACTAGGGTCCACCCCTAGTTGTAAATAGTCAAATAAAGATAACTAAAACATTATCACCGTATCAAATTATTACTTACATTGTTGCAGGTTCCATAATTGTGAAATATATTTAATATTTGAGATGGCTTGGTTTGAAAGCAATATTTCTATTCTATAAAATATAATTGATTAGTAATTTACCTCTTACTATCAAAGATAACATTTAAAGGTCATATAAATGCTGCATTTAGCAGGTTGAACAAAGTAAAACAACAACAATCATTACGTAAAATCAATTTTAACAACAATCAGGTGTCAAACAATGTGCTATTGTTTGGTATCCACTAGCAACAGTAAAATAACATTAGCAAGGTCTAAATATTGCATGTTCATGGTTAATATGATGTTACATTATCAGAATCCATGTATACTGTGTTATAATAATATTTATGTGTTAAAAGTAATAATGAAATACTGTATTCTGAAATATTATTATAGAAACAGCAATGCTCCTACCCGCTTCCTTGGCGTATAGCAGGCGCTTCAATGAAACCGCTGATATTACAAGGAATCTCAGACTTCGCTACAAAAAGGATTCCTTGGAAGAACAAAGACAAGAGTAAGTCAAAGTATGGATGCAGATATGAGCATAGGTTCTAATTCATCAATTAAATCAATCATCCATTATTCAATCCAACCAATTAGCAAGTTAGCTCTTTTGTCGACCTTAATGTTCTTACATCAATTTGCTCTGTTGTTTTAAGAGTTGAATAACTCTAACATTAAACTGCTACAACCATTATCCTATGGGAAACCCCACTATCTCACAAAACCTAATTTCAAAATTAGAGCAATTATTACTCTCTAGATTAAAACTTGACGAGAAAATATTTTACATCAATTATAGCTATAATTGAACTAGCCTTGATTGTTTACTACTTAAAAAAAGTTAAAAGTAATTTTCCACAAAATAGTTATCATACTAAAAATTTATATAAAGCTAAAATTTTTCATATTTTTTTAAATATTTAAAAAAATAACACACTTAGTAGGAAAAATATTGTTTCCCTATGATCCATGGTATGTCTATAAATTGTTTAATATCTTGGGGATACCACAAAAAACAAATTTTGCATCTTTTAACATACATTCCTACTAGTGAAAACCCATATGGTAATAAACTCCCTACATTTGTTCATAAAAAAAAAATGTATGTCACGTTAACCAATAAAAATATGTACCTATAATACTATGATAAAGGGTAATAAAGGTCATTCTTCTCTGCTAGTGTAGCCAATTGTAAGTTTCCCTTTGTTCATTTCATTCTACACATAGTTCAAAAATTATTTCAATTGAATATCACACCATTTTTCTATTTAAAAAGGTTAACATGTAGTATTCATTACATGGAATATCTTAATTCATCTGTATAATGGGTGTTCAACGAGTATTACAAACAAATGCTATCATAACAGGTTTCTCGTGGAACCCTTTTAAAGGAAATACTGGTGTTTATAATGCCTGATGTAAAGGTTTGATTTTTCATTGGGGTGTGAGGAAAATTCTATTGAATTGGGAATGGCTAACCAGACGAAGTTTTCCAGAAAATTTAATACCTTATAATGAATATGTTGATATCCCTAACAACCCATTTTTACAGATACTGTGTGCAGTTCAAAATCTTAAAATCTTCCAAGGGCTGCAGGAAACTTCAAGATTTCTCCTCTCTCAGAGAAGGTTTGTTTTTATTAAATCCTTCAAACAAAAACACTAGCTTTGGGAAAAATAGATTAGTTTAGGATATAAAGTAACATTATCTCTGAATTAACTCTAACACACAATATCTCTTCTGTGGTCATGATTTACTGGTAAGTACTATAGCCAACTGCATAATGTTGAGCTTTGATTATTTTACAGACCAAATCAATATGTTTGAATATATAGCACAATTTTAATTTTTACACACCTGCATATTCAAAGGTACTGTAATGATTGGAGCAATATTAATGCACAAAGAGAATTTACGTGTTAGTAGATTAGAATTGTATGAAATTCGAAAAAAACTTCATAAAATTTTCATAAATTAAACAGAAAACTTGTGTATGTATGAGCTGTTCATATGCCTTAAATAGTTATTTATGTAACTAGTGGCGAAGTGGCATTTGCTGCACACGAGAGAAATGTTTACGCATGAGCCGTAGGTGAGTGTGGAAAGTTTCTTGAGTGCAGCAAAGGCACTTTTCACTCGTGTCACACATTATATTTTTCCAACAGTTACTATATAAATCATACAAATAATTAGTCTTTCAAACACTGAACAACACGTTTTAGGTTAGGTTAAATCCAAACATTGAATGAAACGGAAAACACTGTACCAGCTGATTGTAGTCGTAATATTTTTAAGTGTTGCCAACTTATTTTCAAGCGTACACGGATTACGTGCATTGTAAAATCAGGCTGTTTTGTGTTGTTTGGTTGGAATACTGGTGTGCACCAAAGTAAGGCTTTCTGTGCAAGGAAGCCCACTTTGTCAGGTGACTGTAGGAAAAATATATTTAAAATTATTTCTCAATTAAATATCAAAGTATTGTAATTTCTCTGGCTATTTTAAGTGATGCTTATAAGCGGTGTCTGTCAGAGAACTTGGATTTCTCATCTTCTGCCTGATTTGAGGCTGCACATGATTGTTCAGTTATTTCAGTACAAAATCATTCACACTATTTACATACCAGTAAATAGTCGTCAATGATTGAGGCGTCTTGTACTACTCAAATTGATCTTGAAGCAACTGCTGTAGATACTAGTCTAAATGGGTTAAAAGTTAATGATTTTATTAGCATCACGCTATTTTGGCCAAATGAACATTACAAGAAACTTCATGTAACAATCTATCAGGCTAAAGGCGATGTATTACCTATAAACCTAGTCACTTCTTTTGTTATATTGTATGGAATTTGAAATCATTCCTCTTCAAGTCGCTTTTATCAGTCTTCCTATATAAAACATTCTTATGTCCATAAAGTTTTTGGTGTTCCTTCCATATCCATTTATCACCTTTAATTTGAGATAATCTTGGGATTACCTATATTTTCTGAGTTAGCTACGAGATTCTTACATTTCCCATCGCGATTATTAAAAACAAAGTTTTCACGGCGTTTCGGGATCTGGAATCTGACGGCCAGGATCAGACTACATATATCGCAATAAGCTTAAATGCACTAGCACTATCATCACAAATTAACTTTAAAATAAGAGTTGACTGAGCTCTTGAGATAGTTGCATTTTACAACCCTACCTGCTTTTACCGTACCTGTGGATTTTTCAAATGCCTAACTTAAGTTATAAGTGGGTTGGTACTTGACGTTACAAGTAAGATCCCTGAAGATGCCACACCTGTGGCAAAACAAGCATGTATAATAGTGGAATTGAACTATCTCAACAATGATAACTAGGTAATTTTAATTTATTCTAATTCTGCAGGTGAAGTGAAGTGTGTGAGGTGCGAGTTGCAGGCCATGCGTAAAAGTCTAGGCTACAGATGCCCAGGTCACGGCACCATGGAGCGAGCCACTCGCTGGACGGCGCTATCAGCACACCAGTGCCACGGACAGTGGGTCCGGCTGGAGCACTCATACCACGGCGACTCCTGCGCTCAATGTCCTGGACGTGGAGAGTTCATCTTTGTATAATCTGACCAACTAGACGAATGAAATCTGGTACATTTTTAGCGTAGGGACGTAATGTCCCAGCCTAAACTCATTTGATTATTTGAATTGAATGTCACTATAAGCATTCATAAAAATTTAGATTCATCAGAAATAGCCACTTTATACTCCTAAACATGTACCGTAACCTAAACTGTGGTTAAATAAATTTCTTGGTCAGTCTTCTAATATTTTGTTTTATTAAGGTTTGATTGTAGCAGGGGTGAAGAAATTTCCTCTTCAACAAACCTGCTTGTACGCTATTCCCATTATGACATATTGTGTGTTTGAATGTATATTATCTTTATGTTGAATTATATTTATTAGATTAAGGATCAGCATTAGTTCATTTTAAATTATGTTTGAAAGTTGAAATGATGACTATCTAATTTGTAAGTTTTGAAAATCTCCTATTAGATTAAGATATACTAAGCAAGTCTGGTGCCATATCATCAATGTATATTTGCTATGTATATACAATATTATTTAATACCTCTCTTTAGTATTGTTTTATTCCACTGAACACCCTGAAGCCTATTACATTTTTTATAAATGAATACATTTCTACATTTAATGAGGTGACTAATAGCATTGACTCTATACATAGTCAATGCTAATAGTTGGTTTGCAGTGAGTAGGTTTACCTGGTTTACCTTGACACGATTAATCTACATTTCGTTAAAGATTCTAGTTTTATTTTTGATAATTAATCACTAAGTTAATTGGTCTATAAAAGCACATTGTATGCTACCCATAGTCTTACATGAACCATGGGAGGATTCAATTATTATGAATATATACACGTTCAAACCCATATGTCAACTTATAGCAGGAAATAAAATTTTAATGTTAGTCCCAATGAAAACTTTAAGCTTAAACGTAATCACATCAATAAAAACAATGCATAATGATGATTCCTTGGTTAGAATGATAGTTGGGTTGTTAATGGATATTGGCAAGTAATACAGTAATAGATCTCACTGGTCCTAGGACCAGATTTTTCTTTTCACACAATGTAACAAGTCTCATGGTGTCTCATATAGTAATACAGTAATTGATATTACAGTGTTACATTTTTGTCAAAAGAGTATAATATTTAGTAATAATTTGAAAGAGGATGGTTTTAAGGTTTATTTAAAAAGGTTAAGATTAGATTGAGATTTGTTTTTAAAATGAAAAAGATTTCATATCATGACATCCTTATATAATGAGGATTATTGAAATATATTGATTTGCAAATGTCAGAACCAACCTATGTTTAACGAGAGAAAGGCATGATAGTTGAACAATCCAAGTAAGTACATATCATCAATAAATTCATCAACACCCTAAAAATGAGCTTTAAACTTGGCTAAGAAGAAATTAATGTATTGGAAATTATCAACATTGGTGTTAAACTCATTGTTTACTAAAAGTGGTACTATTTCCTTTTCCTAAATCAACATTTTACACAGTTAATCAATGTTTGCACATATTGGTGTTGTAAATAATATAAGTGAAACCTAACATAATCTGTTCCATATCTTAAAATAATCGTACAGGTCTAAGTTGTTGTATTAAACAGCAGTTGCATTTGAAAAATAGTTTAAGATCAGCATAAGGCTTGTCGCACACTACGGCAGACCAGCTCAGGCAGATCAGGTCAGATCGTTCCGGCAAAATTCGGAAGCCATGTATTCAAATGTAGAGCCGCACACTACGTCAGGTCAGACCGCTCAGTTCAGTCCGGTCAGACCGTCTCCGGCACTTTTCGGTCAGCGAGCGATTTTTGCCGGAGCTGCCGGAGCGAGACGCCGGCCCGCGGCCAGAACCAGTGTTGTGCAATAGCTCGTGCGGTATACAGTTCTGTGATTAGTTGCTGTGATTAGTTCAAGCAGTAGAAGAATCTTACGTTGTCGTTTTTTAATCTTGGGAAAAGAGTAGATACTCTCCCTCACTATCCCGTGCGACATTAATACTGTGCACCCAAAATTTCCTCCTTTTTCTCCTGGTTTTTTGGGCCTTCTCGTCCTCTTCCGCAGCAAGTGCTAATGCTACTATAGCAGTTTCTTCATCACTACTACTAGAACCCATCGCACAATCGCATCGCACTGAACAAGAAGACACAAAGCATACATGCAGCCAATGCCGCTGTCTGTCGACTACTGACTGAGGTTGGCGCTCAAAAAACGCCCGAGCTGAGCGGACTGACCGGACGTAGTGTGTGGGAAAACTGCCGGACCTGAGCGGTCTGACCTGATCTGCCTGAGCTGGTCTGCCGTAGTGTGCGACAAGCCTAAGTCATTATAGACAAGAAACCAAATTTTTAAACATTCTGACCAAACAATAATTTATTTAATCCAGTGTTGATAATTATTTTCCTTCCATTGCTGGAAAACCATTGTTCTTATGTTCCCTACAAATCTTATAGTAGGACTAGAAAAAAGTAGTATACAGTTGTACTTGAAATAAAACGTAAATCATGATTTGTATATCATGTGGTTTTGAAAAAAAATTGCACACATAAAAACATGAAGCTGAAAAAATAGCTAAAACCAATGTTGTTTTGTACAGGTGAATTTAACTGGATATTTCCTGAACTTGATTGGTCAATTTTTATAGTACAAAATAAAGAAGACTCAAATTAAGCTTAAGACATTTAATCACTGGTCATAAAGAGACTTTTCTTTAGCAAGGATCAAGACATATTCTCGTCCCAGACAGTTTCGGTAAGGATGGCAACACTGTCTAAGCGGTGGCCTGGGTAGTACTCCAGTGTCCATAGGAAGTTTGTGAATACCACTGGAACAGTAATACAGGTCCAATCAATCAAAATTTATAACAATTTGACTTAAACATTGAATATTTAAGGTAATAAATCATTACACATCTATTTGATCTAAGTATATGATCAATGTTTGTACCTATTGGTACTATGATTGATAATTTTTGATGTAAGTGGTTACTCTTGGAATTTTTTTAAAAATTGTTTGGCATAACGATAATTGTTGATAGTGGCCATTATCTTTACTGTTAACATAGATACACTATGAAGCAACCTGGTCCCAAAAGTTTCAAATATTATCTAAGTTCTCTGTTGGATCTTATCCAGGGAGATGATTAGGGTAGTTGTACTCACACATTTCACCCTCGTGCAGTGTGCCCTGCAGTTCAGGGCAGGATGCATTACATGGGTTGTGGGGAATCAACTTGAAAACTGTGGCACCCCTCAGTTGTGCCAACATGATAAGGCCAGAGTCCAGCTCCACCTTCAATCATTCAAACATTTATATTATAACCTTCCGTTATACAAATAAGGTTCAAAATACCGGTTGTATTCAAGTGATTCAGCTTCAAATCTTTAGAGTGAAAATCAGAAGCCTGATAAAAACAGTATTATTCAACAGTAGAACAAATATTTTCAACCTTTTTACTCTAAGTATTTTTTTTAACTCTAACAATCATCATTTGAATCTGGGTCTTAATTTCCTCATTATGTTTGGAAGTAACAAGAACATTTTGTTCTTGTTACTTCCAAACATAATGAGGAAACCTTCCGTATAATATTATAACCTTCCGTTATACAAATAAGGTTCAAAATACCGGTTGTATTCAAGTGATTCAGCTTCAAATCTTTAGAGTGAAAATCAGAAGCCTGATAAAAACAGTATTATTCAACAGTAGAACAAATATTTTCAACCTTTTTACTCTAAGTATTTTTTTTAACTCTAACAATCATCATTTGAATCTGGGTCTTAATTTCCTCATTATGTTTGGAAGTAACAAGAACATTTTGTTCTTGTTACTTCCAAACATAATGAGGAAATTAAGACCCAGATTCAAATGATGATTGTTAGAGTTAAAAAAAATACTTAGAGTAAAAAGGTTGAAAATATTTGTTCTACTGTTGAATAATACTGTTTTTATCAGGCTTCTGATTTTCACTCTAAAGATTTGAAGCTGAATCACTTGAATACAACCGGTATTTTGAACCGGTATTATGTTTGGAAGTAACAAGAACATTTTGTTCTTGTTACTTCCAAACATAATGAGGAAATTAAGACCCAGATTCAAATGATGATTGTTAGAGTAACAATGATTGTATAAAACAAAATGTTTTAATGAGTAAAATTTTGTTTGGGATGAACTGTGAACTCTTACTAAAATTAATATTTTCACAAATCCAGATACTTTATAGGTAGATTTAAATAAGGTAAATTTACCTTTTTGTTGGCAAGGTATGGCAGGCTCTCAACGTTTGTTAAATATGACACCATATATAGCAACATTATTATTTTTTTATATTTTTATTGTTTTTAAAGAGGTTTCTGGCCCCTTTTTACTTTACATTTGCCCGTCCACATATACTAACCGCCCGTGCGTGGATCGTATACAGCAAAGCTAGGAGTGAGAAGGTACAGTACAAAGGTGATCTGTACTGATTAAATGTTTTTGGCAGTTACCAGGATCCGAACCCCTGCCATTGCTGCCTTAGGCTCGAAGTCCGCGACGCTACCGATTAAGCCACCGACTCACTAAACTACTACTATATGGTAATCTTAAATAGTCTGAATAGACTGTTGAATGAAAGTTTTTGGGAGATGGCTGTGTTGTTACAGAGAAATACGGTACAGAGGAAACACGCTTATGAGGCAACCATGTGCTTTCAGCTCTTGGTATTTTGAGACAGAAACATACTTATGACGAGCAAGGGAGAGCCCGAACGGCAAGCACTATGCAGGAATTCCTATCGCACAGGGCACAGGGTCTTCCTCCACCATCAGCATGAGCGCTTTAGTTCATGATGGCGAAGGGGGTGGTGGGGGACTTGGCCCTAGACACCACCACTAATGCTAGACACCACCACTAATGCTAGACACCACTTAAGTGCACTGTGGAGTGTATCCTCTGTTCCTTTACTTCTATGTGTTGTTAAATTGTTGAAAATACTGACCGATGCAGCTTAAAGGTAAACTACAATTCAGTTGAGTTGTTCAAGCTAAGCTGTTGATTTGTTGCTTGTAGCATAAATATCATTCTGCAATACATCTAAAACATCATCCAGGATTTTTACTTGTTCAAAAATACAGTCATCTCCTAAAAACTAAACTTCAACATTATAGCTAGTTGTTCTATTGATTATGTAACTAGAAACTACATCAGATACCTTCTCTCAGAATTTCATTGAAGATTGATTTATTTTTTAAATTATTCAGGAGTACATTTACTTTGTAGACACCAATTACGGATGTTGATGTTTTACCTTTTTGTAGTTGTAGGTATTGTAGTCAGATGACATGAGTACCCAGTTGAAGTGAGCTGGAGACACTGAGTTAGACAAGAAGTACGGCCTCTGGTAGAACTTGCGTAAAGCCTTCACAGCATTTATGTCACAGTTTTGCCTGTAACACATTGACACTTCATTGGTAAATAGTTATCTGCAAAACATTGGGATTTATAAAATTATAGATTTTTCCAGATTTTTCTACCAAAGATTATCGAATCAACGCTATCAAAATGCAATGAATGAAACTTTTGCAAGATTTAACCATCGAAGTATAAAACACAAATGGAACACCGGGCAGATAGGAGACGTGGGATAAAAAGCGCGCCGTTTCGGCAACCTTCGTCCACCACTATAGGGGACCCAACGCAGATATGTCAGTTCCTCAAGCCGTGCACGCGGTTGTTAATACGCTCCTGGCCGTTTATACAAAAGGTTGACTGCAATTAAAGTTATGTATTCGGAATCTGAATTAACTGCAGAATCTGACAGTATAAATATAATCTTATTTAAATCGTAATTCGAATTTTAACAACCAAAAATGTTAAAAAATATCACACCTTGACATGAAAAAGTTACTAAGCTAGGATTTTTTTTATTTTTTGGTCAGAAGCAAACTTCAAGCGACGAAATTGTATCTAATGAGATGATCTTCAGCATATAACCAAGCAATTTCAAATAAAATTTTCTAGCCGTGTGTAATGGAGTAATTAGTAACGCAAAGAGGTTATTTATAAATCGCGCCGCGGGCCGTTCTCCCTGGTTCCGCTGATCTTTACGTTTACGGTACTCCCAGAAACGTTTTGAGTACAACCAATAGTTATATTAAATACATTTTTATTACAGGTAACACATAACTAAATACTGTATTATTACCTTCTAGGTAAACTATTTACATACAATGTTACCGTTAATTAAAATGTAAAATGTAGACTATATATCCAGGGACAGGGACTGGTAATCCCCCTTTGTTTAAATGTAACAAGGGATCGTGTATCATCTGCTTTGTTTGGTAATTAATGAAAAATTTCAAATATTAAGGCTTAGAGCAAATAATTGATAAGGTCCTAAATACTAAACCTAGGAAGTATTTAACGTAAAGGCAATAACAAAAATTGAATAATAAATTTACAAATCGAATTGTTAGTCGTGTTCCTTTGACAATATGAGTATTTGTATAATGTTGCAAAGACACGATTAGTAAAAAAGTGTTTTGAGTGTTTTGTTATTCTGTATGTTTTAAAATTCATTTCATCACACATAATCAAATCAAATCAAATCAAAATATCTTTATTCATACAAGACAAGTACATGTTAGTACATCTGAATAGTGTCAACTTAGCTATTTAAATTAACATTTGCTTAATTATTCATATACTCTTCTATGGAATATAATACTTTGCAAACCAAATAAGTTTTTAGTTTTAGTTAAAAAACTAAAACATAAGAGTAAAGGATTTGGTTAATAATACTAAACAGTACTTTTAAGAATATGTTTTACTGCCCACAATCGTGCTTAAATATAGTACAAAGGCTGCATTACATGTTGTGAAACAAAACCAATTTCTTCAATCTCTGCCTTACACCTAACTTATTTTTGGTAGGTACATTCATTCATAATGTTCCTAGCATTGGAGAAACAAACGGTTTTGTAAAACAGTGTCCCTAAAAGTTTCATTCATGGGCGGCAGCCCGGTACCGGTATTTATATTTATCTTCTGCAAATAAATGAAATATATGATCAGATCCATAGAATAGTTAGTTGTATTCTTTAACTTATATCAACTATTAAAAAAGGTTGACATTTATTTAGCTTTACAATAATCGAGTAGCAAAAACATAAAGAGTTGCTGGACTGAGGAGGTTGGTGCGACATAAAATCAACCTCGTCGCGCTATTAATCACAAACTTAATTGTAAATTGCTCGATCACATGTTAAAAATCATCTCTTAAACTACAACTCTGTCGCTTACAGTTTTCTTCTGGCCCAAAAATAAAATACTTCTTCGCATACTAACTTTTTCATGTCACAATGTAAAAATGTTTAACTCTCTTCAACTATGGAAATTCTATTTCAAATCAAAAGTAAAATTTATTTATACCATTACATTCTGGAATTTAATGCAGATTACGAATATATAAAAATTATTGTACTTAATCTTTGTTATTGAAGGCAGGAGCGAGTTAACAACTTCGCGCACTATTCGATGAATTGGCTAAAATCCGCTGGGTCCCACAAGGTAGTGCGGGAAGGCTGCACCAACGGCGCGCTTTCGTGAACACGTACCTAGCATTCCAGTTTCGAGATGTTTAAATGATTAATAAACACTGTTAATAATACAATATTACAAACAATCAAGAATATAAATTATAGAAACAAACTCCAGGTTTCAAAAATCTAAATATTTCAAAATATTACATTTTGTTTCAAGTATATTACAAAATGCAATTGTATCAAGTAATCAAGGTGGTAATCAAGATTGACTTATGTAGGTAACATAGAAAAATGTAGTGTACTATAGGATTAATCATTAAACACAACATAAGCATTTTTAACTAGTAAATATAGTTGAACATTTCTTTCTATTTTGAATTTCTACAATACAACTACCTATTTACAAATTCTGTAATCTCCAATACCCTTTATCTACAGAATTGTTATTTTAGAAAACATATGTTAATTCAATTTAAAATGCAATATTTTTCATGATTTGGCAGTAAATGAATAAAGTTAACAGAATAATTAAAAGACTGTAGGGCCTGTCCATAAGTACATAGCATATAATATTATTAAACTGTATATAATATTTTATGACAATAAAATCTGTAATATACGTATCTTAAACTACTACCGTACCTACAACTAAACAAAAATATATGTTTCAAAATTAATTGTATTAAAACTATTTTAGTAGTAACTTTTGAGATCAGTAATAAATAAGCATAAGTTGAAAATAAACAATAAGGTTGTTTCATGTATAGATTTTTCTAATAGATCGATATAGAATTATATCACATCATGAAATGTTTGAAATATCATCACAAAGTAGTTTTAGGTGAATATCAATAAATACATGTTGCATAAATGGAGGATAAAGTATGGTTCAAGGTTTTTTTGGTCTCTATTTTTTGTGAATAAAACAAAAATACAGTAGTAATCTGGTAGAAATATAACAAAGTTTTTTATTAAAATGTCCTTGCACTCACCAATGGACAAACCATTTATCCACGGATGGACTGTGGATACGCTTCAGGAAGGCCAAAAGATCAGAGGATCCTGTGCGCAAATTGGTAGTCAAGATACAAGGAACCGTCTCTATGAGTTTCTCATCACGCAAATACAACTGAAAAATATGTATTGTATATTTACAACATACTGTTAAAATGATATGGGACAAATTATAATACCCATTACCTATTGATCAATGTTTAATGTGAAATAGTTCGCCAACGTTCACGAGGGTTTCAAGTTTAATTTTGCAAACGAGTTTTGTACAGATAAAATTCAAACATCTTCCAACACTGCTCAATAAACACCCGTACTGTAATCAGGCGGTAACTGTATACATACATATACAATATTTAACAGTAGCTGGTGATTTTGATTAGTCATACCAGTTCATCATCAGGCGCAATTCAGTCTTTGATCATCTACAAGTATCTGTCCCATCTAAATTCCCAATTATTACACCTCTCTCAAACATTAATTGAGCAGATGCACAGTGACTTAAAAAAACAACACAATTTGCTCCAAGATGCACAGTGGATAGGAGTTATAGTGGATAGTCAATGGTTTCATTGACATTGGATGATGTTCTGGGAGCCTTAAATTAGCCATGCAATAGTCATTGGTGCTTTGATGTATTTAAACTTCTACAAGAGAATTTTATTTGTTTAGCTTTTGACCAATACAGGATTGTGGATAGCCAAAATTTAAGTTACCTGAGTTATGTTATCGAAGTAGAACTCGTCAGTCCTCATAACTGGCCAGCTGTCCATAGCATCTGTCACAATGAATGGAGCATCTCTGTTGAGATAGGAGTCCAGGACTAAATTGTAACTCACTTTGTTCAACCGATCAACATGGTCCAGTACTTCACAAGACTACAACAAAACATGTTGATGATTGGTGACATATATTTATAAATATCTATGTTGACTTAAAAGTTAACACCATCAGATTTTCAAATTACTGTTTCTTCAGGACAAGCCTTGTTTAAATTGCCGATAAGAAGAAGAATTTCATGAGAAAGCTAAAACTTTATTTAGTGGAGAAAGCGTTTTATTCCTTGGAAGAGTATTTTTCCACCTCCCCTCTCAGTGTTATTCATAATTGATTTAGTTTTGATTATTTTCATTCACTGGTTATTGTTTTTTAATGTTAGTAATGGTCTAAGATACGTAAATTATTATTTAAGATAGATTAGTTGACACCATTAAATGTACAAATCTGTACTTTATGAATAAAGCATATTTAATTTTATGTTTGCCTTGAAAATCTTCATTTTCATTAAAGAAAATTGTTATTCTTAAAGATACAATTCCTGTCGTCTCTAGAAAATTAACAAGTAAAAATGTATCTCTTAAGTGTGAGGAATAGTTAAATTATCGATCCTTACTCACCACACAGTCGTCTTCTGACAGTCTGTAGCCTTCGTAGAAAGGATTGTTCATCAAACAAGACTCATAGAACAGTGGCCTCCAGTCCCAAAGAGGCAATGCCTGTGGACCGAAAACAGTTAATTCGCAATTCATATAAACGTACAAAACATATATTATTGACATTTGAAACATCAATCAGAATTTTCTAGACAATAGGCTGATTTATTTTGGTTGAATTTCAACTGTTAACATTTGGTTTAAGATTTAGTTAATTTCTACATAGTACCAATAATGTCTTCGGTTACTAAAATATCATTTGGCGAAAGCAGTTCAGCTAGAATATTCTATAATTTTCATTTATTCCTAAATTAGAGGTTTTAATTATTTATTTTACTAGAATACCGGTAAATTCCTCGAAATTGTATAGGCCTAGTGCTTTGACCACAATTAATGGAAATGTTAATAATTTACATAATTATCAATTTAAATATATTTTATATCACTTTTTTACAATATATATGTATAAAGGTAAGGAAAAACAAGACTGTAATTGGGTACAAACATGTATTTGGATTTAGATTACACAACCTCTTTTATTGCATTTTGCCTCTCAGTTGTTTCAAAACTAGCCTACATATAAGCTCAATAGACCTAACCTAAATATACTTAGATCTATAAAATGCATTCTACTAGGTTCTGGGTTCGATCTTGATACATCCCGTGAGAGAGAGGCTATCTTAGATTGAGGAAAGCACCAAAGCAACGGTTGGGCAAGACACCTGCTGGTGTGACAATGACTCATTCAAGATAAGGTTCCGTTAATAGACCATCTTGGTCCCACATTTTGTAGGGATGTCGAGTCGGAGGCGTGGACCAATATATCACATGGGCTCAATTAAACGGCTCTTGTACTGGGAGGTCCGTGATTTATAAGCTGTGTTGAAGGAACAAGTTCAAGGACCGTGAGGTGTCTCAGTCTCGGGTTTTGACAGTTGTGCCCCAACCCTTTTCTGTCCAGGGTAAAAATATTTTGATTTGAAATGTCCATCAAATGTCCATGGCTTATTTGACAGTAATAATAATTTTTGGAGTTGTTTAGGAGTTATACTTGAGAGAGAGTGTGGTGTTAAAAGTATAAGGTGATTATTTAAATGAGTTCGGTTTTTGAGATTTTACATGTTTCAAAATGTAATATTACTTTCGATTAATTTAATTTGAGCTAAGACCTATGGTATGATTGATATTCAAATACATTTTAATACTATAGTATATTTTATGTAGGCCTACTTCGTTCACATCGTATGACAGTATTGACTATACACAGAGTAGACTTCCTATGTATTGTAAAAATTGTAAGCCAAGAAATTAGATGAAGTTTAGGACCATCTCACCAGAGGGTACTAGTGTTGAGTTAAATATGAATTCAAATCAATGCAATATCATAGCAAACAGCTGATTGATTGAGCACTTGACACAGAATATTGTCATTAGTTGATAGACAATCTCAACAGATTGCACCACGTGTTTTGGCTTCAAACTTTATCATTACATGGGAAGTCTATTCTGTGTATAGTCAGGTGTATAGTCAGTCACAATTTCTGTGTATAGTCAATTGTAGGTATTCTCACCTGGTGCCGTTTCACGTCACAGATTACTTCAGGCTAGGCCTAGAGGATCGTGGCATTTGGCATTATTACATAGCTGCCATTGGTGATTGGTGGGATTTGAGCCCGGAACCTCGGGGACCCAAATCCCGCGCTCTGTCACAAAAACCAGCTTGTTCCTCTTTACAACTGTCATAGTTATCTTGGTCATCGTGACGTCATGTCATCAGGAAGTTCCAGTTGGTGAGGCTTTTATAGGACTTTAGTCGGTTCTCTTCAGCCTCTTGACATTCTCGATGTAGGATTTATGCTATAACTTTATATTCCCGCCAGATCACTCTTACCTTGATCATGAGTATTCTAGCGACTGCCGTGAGATGAAGACGGACGGTCGGGAGAGTGACAAGCCAGTAGACAGCCAGGATGAGGACCAGAAGGAACAGACTTGTCCTCAGTACTCGCCGAAGAGTGCTCCTGCGGACTGCTTGGAGAAGAGGAGCGCAGATTACCTCCATCTCGGCAGAGGTGAAGCCCTGCTGCTGACAATACTGGTAGAAGGACATGAGTTCCGCGTCCATCAGCCTGCGAACCATCGCAACGTCGTCATCAAGTACAAGAAGAAAGATGAAAATTTTGTTGTGGAAAGAATAAAATGTGAAGAAACTGCATAATCGGAGGTTATAGACTTTCATAGTTGCTGTTTGGCAATTCGAGAGAATCTCATCAGTGTTATATTCCAAGATTATTAGTGCAGTTTTCATAATTAATTGTATACAGGGTTAGTAAAAAGTGTGGAGACCCCCTGTTATTTTTTTAACGGCCCATACTAGAAAAACTAAACTCGGCACACCATTATTGCATGTTATGAAGTACTTTTTGGGCATAACCGCCACTTGGTGTTCATACCCAAAATGGGGGATTTTGGGGGAAACTAAAAAATTTCAAATACAAAGACCCATCGAGTGACCCCTCATTTTAATGGTCCGGGTAAAAGAAAACCAACAACGCAAACTAAAGGTCTCTATCTCAGTTCAGTACAAAATGGCAGCCAATTGAAATTATCATAAGTTCCCAAACCCAAAATGGGGGATTTTGGGGGAAACTCAAAAATTTTAAATGAAAAGCCCCATCGAGTGACCCCTCATTTTGAAGGTCATAATAAAAGAAAACTAACAACGCAAACTATAGGTCTCTATCTTAACACAGTAAAATATGGCAGCCAATTGAATATAAAATTGCAAGTTATTTCCAATTTCTAAAGATTTCAATCAGCTTCCATTTTTTACTGGATTGAGATAGAAACCTCTAGTTTGCGTTGTTAGTTTTCTTTTACCAGGATCTTCAAAATGAGGGGTCACTTGATAGGGCTTATCTTTTAAAACTGTTGAGTTTCCCCCAAAATCCCCCATTTTGGGTTTGGTAAGCAAGTGGATATTAGGCTTAAAAAGTACTTCATAACATGCCAAAAAGGTGTGTAGAGTTTAGTTTGCCTAGTGTGAGCCGCTACAAAATTTACAGGGGGTCTCCAGACTTGGAAAGCTGCAAGTTAAATTCAACTTCTGAGAATTTCAATTGGCTGCCATTTTTTACTGGATTGAGATAATGACCTCTAGTTTGCGTTTTTGGTTTTCTTTTACCAGGACCTTCAAAATGAGGGGTCACTCGATAGGTCTTTGAATTTGAAATTTTTGAGTTTCCCCCAAAATCCCCCATTTTGGGGATGTACACCGAGTGACGGTTATGCCCAAAAAGTACTTCATAACATGCCATAAAGGTGTGCCGAGTTTAGTTTTTCTAGTATGGGCCGTTAAAAAAATAACAGGGGGTCTCCACACTTTTTACTAACCCTGTATTCATATAAGGTTCGTAGGCGTAGTTAAATTAAAGTGTCCATTGTACCCTCCAATCATATTTTGAGATGTAAGACAATTAGAATACCTATTTGACAATCTGTGTACTACGAGCATTGCCGATCGAGAACTGTAAATGAAGTGTGGCCATACATTTCGAGATTATTTACATTTTTTCTATTTCTAGATTTCTAATAGCTAAACTAGGGAGATATAAGAAAGAAATAAAGAAAATAAAAACACGTAAACCATGGACCTATATTCTTCTTGTCTGATGTTTTCGACTTTTTAGTATTGGGTTCATGATTAGGCATTAGTATATTTCATTACTAGTATCGAAAGTGGCATTTTCCGGTGCGTGCCTATGTTTCGTGGGTGAAGCAACGCTGAACAATTAAAGGATCACCAAATTTCGGGTGCAAGGCGAAGCCGAGGATGTGAGAGCTATTTTCACATATGCGGCGAAGCCGAGAATGGGGAAATTGGAACAAGTGCTAGAAAATCTCTTTCGTACAAGTTATTAACAATACTTTTCATCACGAAGGAAAATACACAAAACAGACCAGTAAAATTAAAACTATTTTATTTCTTGATTAAAATTAATTAAATATCAAAATAAAAGAAACAAAGCTATAGCAAATCTACATAAGAACTTAAAGTTGTAATGTACATTGTGCAGTAAACACGCCCTAGAAGATGCTCAGCAAAACGTATGCATATTCCTGTTAAAACTTTACAGTAAAAACAGCTGATTTCAATGATAGTAATAAATTGTAAACAAACAATAGCAAATTTGAGAACTCATCTAGAGCAAGGGAAAGGGGATAGCTATTTGAGCGTAAAGTCTTATTCATTGCCGCCCGAGAACTGTAGATAGGCCTACGAATCTTTGCGGAAGGTATAGTTGAAGTTCGAATCATTACACTTGTGCTTCTCCTCTCTCAATCCTTGAACCTCATTGGTCCGTTACCCATGTTGTTATGAGTAAAAGTATACTGTTATGAAAGTAAACAATGCTGTTATGTGAAACTTTTCAATCCTAAGTACTGAACTGTAACGGCTACTTAAAAAAACGGTTGTAGGTAATCGTAATTAAAATTGTATTAACAAAACACGGCTATGTTATGAGTAGTTAAATTCAACTATAATAGACCTACCTGAGCTTTTCGCAGTATTCCAGCTCTTTTTGGCGCTTGTTGGTCGGCCGGTTGCCGCCACCGCTTCCTCTAGTAGCTGACATTATATTCGTAGAAGAACCTAAGGATCAAAATAAAGGAAATTATTCAATTTATACTTTCTATTAGTAGTATTTGTATTTATTTTACCATATATAAACTAATATAATTATATTATTAGTTCATCTATGATTTTACTCTGACGTTACAGTATAAATAGCCTACATACAGGGTGAGTTTTAATAGTCCCCCCCCCCCACTTTTTTCTACATTTTTTCAAATATCAATCCCAGACCACTTCCAAACATTGTTGGGTAGTAAGTACTTCATTTTGACAAGGTGGCCATTTCCGGCCGCCATCTTGGATCCGCCATAATGGATGCAAAATATTTTTTTCAAATGTAAAGGTGGGGTTGTGACCCATTATTTTGAACTAAATTTTTACCCTGATTACAATGCCGCAAACCGTTTAAAAAAATCTTGATTCATTCTAAAGTTATGAGGCCTTTTTAAAACTTTTTTTTAGCCCATTTTAACATTGTGCTTGCACAAACTAAGACCATAATCTCAAAATAGTGCTAGATAAAGATAAGTATACACTACCAGTCATTGCCAACCTATTTCCACTTGATTATGATTGATGTATTTTTTTCGGCCGCCATCTTGGATCCGCCATTTTGAAATGTGATAAATTATTTTAAATATAAAAGGGGTGTTGTGACCCATCATTTCGGATTACTTTTTTAAGCTAAACTCAATTCCATGGTACATTTTTTATTTTCATATTTTGATTTTGAAATATTAACATTTTTAACAAAAATATTGCAATGTTTCATAAATAAAACTTGATAACAAAAAATGGATTGCGGCATTGAATTTAGCTTAAAAAAGTAGTTCAAAATGATGGGTCACAACACACCCTTCATATTTAAAATAATTTATCACAATTCAAAATGGCTTATCCAAGATGGCGGCCGAAAAAAATAAATCCGTCATAACCAAGTGAAAATAGGTCGACAATGACTAGTAGTGTATACTTATCTTTATCTAGCACTATTTTGAGATTATGGTCTTAGTTTGTAAATGCACAATGTTAAAATGGGCTAAAAATAAAGTTTTAAAAAGGCCTCATAACTTTAGAATGAATCAATATTTTTTTAAACGGTTTGCGGCATTGTAATCAAGGTAAAAATTTAGTTCGAAATAATGGGTCACAACCCCACCTTTACATTTGAAAAAAATATTTTGCATCCAATATGGCGGATCCAAGATGGCGGCCGGAAATGACCACCTTGTCAAAATGAAGTACTTTCTACCCAACAATGTTTGGAAGTGGTCTGGGATTGATATTTGAAAAAATGTAGAAAAAAGTTGGGGGGGGGACAATTAAAACTCACCCTGTATAATTAAAGCCATTTATGAAATCGTTTTAATAATGCTACCGACCAATGAAATTAATTATTGACTAACAAATATAAATACAAATTACAATAAATTAATTACCAAGCATTGTATTACTTTGAGGTATGTCAGTAAGGTAGATTGTTGTAGGTCGTTCTGAAATCGGAATGAGTAACTAGTTCTCGTCAATTTCAGGTATTTTGTGAACTGTTCCGTACTAATTCGGTTTTCTAGGTTGCTACTACAACTTAAAATAAAAAATATAAAAAAATGATTTAACTGTTTAAGTTATAAGTGATTATTTTTATTTATCAAACAATTAAAAACTATTAAAAAAACATGATTGCATTTGCAGTTGACAGTGCGTAAAGAATAAAGTTTAAATTAAAATAAAAAAAAACTTTTTAATTGAGAACAGACATTTTGCAGATATTTTATATTAATTGAAATGTTATAATTTTTTATCTTAGTATTGTTTGTATACGTTGTTTTGATTAGTTCATAATATTCATACAAATTTGAGGGATGAATAAGTATATTGTAAACGTTTCCGAAAATAAATTCGGACTTTTAGACAGGTCAAATGTTTGTGTTAAAGTGGTTTGTATCAATATAATTTCCGAGCCGACTTCTCTGAAAAAACACCCCGGTTTGGACCCTGAAAAAGGTCCTGTGAGGGCCCTTGATAGAGAGGGCGATGTGGTGTTTTTTGCACCATCCACTACTATACAGCTATGGCTGGTAAGCATATCTTACATGACTCCCTCGAACAACCGGCACTTCCGGTCATTTACCTTCACTTGACCAACACCGGCTGGTAAAGGTTGGGAAAGAACCCGCCTTGAGGTTAGTTGTATTTTCGGAGACTCGTTCAATGAGAGCGAGGCTACTAATTGGCTCTGTTTATCGTAAAGAAGCGAGAAAACTAGACGAACATCCTCGGGGTTCGGATTTGTTTCTGTTGAAAATATTTCTATGACTAAATACACTACAACGTTTGTAACATGACTCTCGTGGGGATTGGTACGTAAGACTTGTTATCAAGGTTTGCAATAACATGTGATTATGGGTCAAATAAATTCAAGGGGATTTGAAAACGACACTTGTTCAAGGGTGACTTGTTATCAAGGTGCCACTGTAGTAACAACAATAACAATGCAGTTTAAGAATAATTTCGAGAGAATTCCACAATACCAGAAACGACTTCGCACTTGCCTATTTATTTCGCTTTTGCTTCATTTCCTCAAGCAAGTGTAGTGCATCATATATGTTGGTGTTTAGTGTAAGATTATTTTTTAAGCTCTCCAAAAGAGTAAGTTACCAAAACTGATCTTTTTCCATTCCGGAATGGAAAAAGGTCAGTTTTGGTAACTTACTCTTGTGGAGAGCTTCCGGTGATAGCTTCCGTGGGCAGTTAGTCGTCAGTTAAACACGAAATAGCAAGGGGGTAAATCAGTACATTGTTTATTTTAGGAAGGATGTGCAACAGCGGCCATAAACGGATGATGGGTGGGCTTAACCTAGCCTTAGGAAATCATCCTTATACTGCATTAATTAAATGTGCCCCGTCCATAGAACGGACTTGCAGCTGGCAATAATTTAAGTACTTTATGCAACATGTTTGATCGCCAGTCTATTTGGGATGGTTAAAATTATTAATCTAAAAAAACTCATAATTATTTCTAAAGATTATAAAAGTCATAATGGCTTTTACTTTAGTTATTTGTGTATGGAAATAAATGTACTTATTTAATTTATAAATAAATAACCAAAATCAGTTAATATTATTGTTCTTTGAATTATAAGATTAACTCAAATCAATATTCCAGACCTAAATGCTTCAAACTTGCTTCATTGAAATACGTAGAAATGTTGAACCATCTGTGGTTGACCTTTGTAAATAATTTTATCCATAAATAGTATGTTGGCATTTAGTTGTTGTTCCTTCTTCGTCGATAGAATTTTTTTAAAGGCGTTTAAAAAATAACCCATTCATAGCGAGAATTTGTTTCTCTAACATGCCCGTTGGTTGAAGTACACTGTAATACTGTATTAATATTTTTAATTAGTATGTACTATGAATACGAGTACTGTAGCTTGAAACGAACCGTCATGACATAGGGATTTTATTAAAAATCAAGCCGTCAATCTACTATCAAGGTAAAGTAAATTTATTCAAGCGCCTGCATTATCAGACACAGAATTTTAAAGGAAATTTCATAGTAGTTGTTACCGACTACAAATTTTGACATTCGTTTTAGCGAATTTCATATATAGGGAATAAGCTATTACCGTAGGTCTCAAGGTCAGACCTAGACCCTGGACAAATTTACTTTTTCGTTTTGAGATCCCTAAAGGCCACAATCCGTTCAAATTCATTTACAGAGTTAGGCAAAAGTATGTAGCCCCCCAGTTAACTTGTTAACGCGTTGCAGTAGGAAAACCAAACTTGGCACATATTTGCAACATAAGAAATTGCACTTTTTCATCAAAGTTACAACTTTGTCCCAGCCCCCGAAATGGGGTATTTTGGGGGCAAATTTTCAAATGTAAGCACCTATCATGTGACCCACCATTTTAAAGGGCTTATCAAGAGAAATCGAATGGCGCAAACCAGAGGTCAATATCGCACCCATAATCAAAATGGCAGCCATTTTAATTTAAGATGAGCAAGCAAGATAAAGTCTGGACACCACAAGTTAACTTTATAACGTGTGGCAGTGGGAAAACCAAACTCGACACATGTTTACAACATAATAAAATACACTTTTTCATCAAAGGTAGAACTTCTACCCGGCCCCCAAAATGGGATATTTTGGAGGCAGACCCGAATTTTCAAATGTAAACACCTATCATGTGACCCCTCATTTTAAAGGGTTTCTCAAGACAAATTAAATGGCGCAAACTAGAGGTCATTATCGCACCCCTAATCAAAATAGCAGTCATTTTGAAATATCCCTTATTAACTTTTTAACAGGTTATAGCAGGAAAACTAAACTCAGCATACCTTTATAAAAAAAGAGAATTCACCTTTTGGTTGGATATAAAATATGAATTTTTTAAAGTTAACTGGGGGTGTCCAGACTTTATCTTGCTTGCTCATCATAAATAATTAAGTTGGCTGTAATTTTGATTGGGGGGGGGGGCGATATTGACCTCAGGTTTGCGCCATTCAATTTCTCTTGATAAACCCTTTAAAATGAGGGGTCCAATGATGGGTGTTTACATTTGAAAATTTGGGGCTGCCCCCAAAATACCCCATTTTGGGGGCTGGTACAAAGTTTTAACTTTGATAGAAAAGTGCAATTCCTTATGTTTCTTATGTAGTGTAAATATGTGCCGAGTTTGGTTTTCCTACTGCAACGCGTTAAAAAGTTAACAGGGGGGTTCCAGACTTTTGCCTAACTCTGTAGTATATGAATTCACATATAAATTCAGTTTATGTGTGTCCGTTAGCGCAATAACTCGAGCAAAAATGATCCGATTTTGATGAAATTTGGTACAAACGTGTAAACTTTTGTGTTTATTCAAACGAGTTCGCGAACCAGCATGATCGAACTATGGGAATGGTGGTTTATGGGGGGGGGGGGGGTCAATGGGGTAAAAATTGGGTTTCCCCATTTTTGATACTGACAGTAAAAAATTTCACAATTTCTCTCCAAACCAGCATGAATCCAGCAT